TTTTCTTGGCCCAGCCTTTTTAAAGTCAAGCCCGTTGAATTTTTCAGACTTTTCAGTTGTATGAACATGGACAACAGGTACATGATTGATCAGCTGCAGAGAGCTGGAACCTGCTCCGGTGGATGCCATCAGTTCAGTAGTATGACTGAAATTCTTCTTGCGATTGTTGGACAATTAGTGTAAAATTACACGGGAATCCTACGGACTGATATGTATTTTCAGTTCTTACAAATAATCTAAAAATAGAAAATTACAATTGAACTGAAAAATAAATTACAACTGAAAAACGAAAAGATTTTATAGCCGAGGCGAGTAAAACTCTTTCCGCAAGAAGAATACGCCCCGTGTGGCAGCTAACGGTTCAGGCGTAACTTCCCCAAAGATACAACAGCAAACGTCTCTAAATCTGAAATTCTTGTACTTACTTTTGTTGCTCAGCTTGCAATCTCCCAATCGTGCTCAGAAACTCGCCCACAGCTGATTCTATGCGCTCGCTAATGGCTTCTCCCACAGCTTTCCCCAAGAAAAAATGCATCCAGAATCGTTTTGCTCTCATTCTCACCCGAATCGCGAGCACAGTTGAACCGGAAATTGATTTTTGGAAGCTTCTGTAGCGGAGAAGATAAGACGTTGAGGGTCGAGGGGCAGAGACGGGAGGCGCGTGGGTTCACGAAAGAAGGAGGTGGCAAAGATACGGCAGAGAGCATTTGCGGTGATGTCACTCCCACTCTCATTTTCTTCCCAACTTTCTGTGTGCTTCTTCTTTTCTTCTCAACTTCTTTCTTTTTCTTTCCTTCTCTTCTTTCTTTTCTATTTCTGCCGTCTGCTTCCTCTCTCTCTTTCATCAACAGAATAGTTGATATTTATAGATGTACAATTGGAATCAATGTAACCAACTTTCAATTATAATAATTGATCCAGCTAAACCAAATTGGTTGGCAAAAGATGATTACAAATTAAAAATAGTTGTCAAAAGATGCTTGCAAAAGATGAGTACAAGGATCCCCCTCTGTTCAACGAATACTTCGGAGAGGTCGAGCAAGTCTCGACGGATTATGATGGCCCACCTATCTTCGACGTATACCCCGAAGATGAACTCATGGACATCGAAGTAATTGAAGAAGCCGAGGTCAATGAAACTAGGGTCGAAGGCGAGGTGCAAGAGTTTTGGATGATCGAGCAGCAGTAATCTGAGATACGCGAGTTTGGTAGAGCAACTGACCGCGTACTAAGCAAGTCCGACAAAGAAGTGTTAGAGTAGTATACCCGGCGTTC